GCAGCTCTCAGCCAACATCTTTTTCCAATTTGATTTGCATGGAAATGTAATTGTTGTTGGTGAAGATGGGGGCGGAGGCGGAAGGGGCGTGTACAAATGTATCTCTGTCCACCCAATTCAGGTAGGACTAGCAGGCAGGCAGCATAACAACAACTCGTCGTTCACAATGTATTTTCTATTGAATTTTTAATGAGTTCGACGGTGAACGTGGAGGCAAAGAGAAAGGCTGGGTGGAAAAAACATGCCTTTGGCGCTGGAGAAGGAGCTTATATAGACGAAGATCTTGATATTCCCAAGGCCTTGATTCGATAGCATTCCGGGCTTGTTATTCCGGTTTCTTGCTGAGTTTCCGATGAACGAGACGTGGGACTCAAAAGCAAATAAAGCCCCTGAGAAAAAAGGCGCTACATAGAAGTATATTTCCAGGAAACCAAAATTGGCAAAACAGAAGAAAGCATATCTGCCCATCTAGATAATTGCGGCAGGTGGATAAGAGATAAGTGGAAATTCGAAGGAAAGATTTCTATTCATCTCAATTTTTTTGTTCAATTAGATAAACATAGTTTTGATGGTTGGTTTATTTAAGTTTTTCATCTTATTTTTTTTTTTACTTTTTCGCATCTCTTTGAAGTTTTGAATCATTTTAATTAAATAGTTACCTTATGTCCATTAAAATAGGCAAACTCAAAGGCTTAGCACTACTTAGCTCTACTCTTGCCTTAATGTTCAATCAAATTCAGGCATAGCCTAATCAATAAGACCTCCTCTCACCAACAAGTAAAATATATTTATAACTTTTAAATGCATATCCAAACAATCCCAAATGTTTTTATGATTACCTTTCCGGTTGGCTTTAACATGCCACAAATCTGTATTTTACATTTTCAATGGCCTCACAAAGTTTACCATAATTTTCCGCTTCCAAAATTTTTTTAGCCTACTTCCCAGGGCATATGCTCAATGGGCTTTCCTCGGTATCTCCGCGGACCGCTTTGTGGGTGTGCCGTAAAACAAATATCGATAAAAAGCAACAGACAGAGCGATACAAATACAAAATTTTGATTTGCATAATGTGGCTCACACACGCACACTAAGACCTGGACCGACCCACGTAATATACAATATAATTTACATTAAATTGCTGATCAATATAAATGTATCTATCTGGGCATTAGCTTAATTTGTAGCTATATTTGTACCAATGAGCGTGTGTGTGTGTTTGGGATTAAATCGTTTACCTACTGCCCATATTCACACACACACACACAGGCACATATTGAATTTTCCTGCTGACCGCGAGTGAGAAATATTTTTGCATAATTTCTCTTACTGATTTGCTGGGGTTTTTCTGGTTTTTCCGCTTTGTGCGCCATAAATTATGCTGAAAAACTGCCAAAGCAAAGTATAAAAAGCAATAGAGATGCATACGTACGCATAGATTTAGCCAAAAACCAAAGCATAAAGTAATTTGGTTTATGAATTTGACCGTCCCCGGCGCCCCTCCGCGCTAATTTCTCGGTCGAGGCGTCAAATTCTATTTGCCGATCAAAACAAAATTATCATTTGACCAAAAATACGTTTTTTCGGCCCCTGCGTATTTGCATTCGGCTGGTGATTAATGTTTGATGTGCAGTAATTAAATAGACAGAACAGCATGTTGCATGCAAATTTTTCGGTCAGAGTCCTTTGTTTGCTTGCCGTGCTCCATTCGGTTTATGTTTATGCAATTTCAATTTCGAGCGTGCAATAAAAGCGATTTGTTTTAATTACTTACGCACATGCCATTTAATTATTTTTATTGATTAAATAAAACAATTAAGCTTATGTAAATTAATGTAGTCGAGTCAACTTCGTCGGTGTGATGTCCCTACCACTCTATTGTGGATCGTTGGGGCGTTTGCCGTTGGGCGTCGAGAGGGGGCGTGGCAAGCGGCTGTGGGCATAGCGAAGTCAAGTTAATGGAATAGCTGAGCAGGGCAGGCAAGTAAAATAATTTAAGGCCAAGCATACAAAATTAATGAGGCCATTAAATCCTGGAGACGCTAAAGAGACAAACACAAACGCAGGAGTCATGTGTGCGAGAGAGTGTGTGTGTTTGACAGTCAAAGGACAACTCTTTGTTCAGTCTCTGTTTATGACTCTCGTCCTGTGCCTGTGTGGTGTGCGTGTGAGTCCCCTGTTTGGCGTGTGTGTGTGCCATTTATACACTATGCTAAGTGCAATTTGTTGGCAGGGTATTCATTTTCTTTCGTTCAATACTCGAAATGACGTGACGTCTCCCGTTTATACTCCTTTAACAACTTTTGTTGATTAACAAAAATATTTTAGATTATCCTTTTTTAGTTTGATAAAATTTCGAGAACTTAAAAAATTTGTGAAGCATGAACCAAAAATGAAAAAATTCCAAAAATGTAATTGCTTACTAATTAATGCATAATAAATTAAGAATTTCAAAACAAATTATTTTTGCTCTTCACGAAATGACAAATTGTAAATATAAATACATTAAATTTGGTGAGTTTTTTTTAATAAGCTTCCAGTATTTAAAATGTTGCTTTCGAGTTACTTACCATGCTAGCTTAGAAAAAACTATTCGAATTTTAATCTGTAACAAAATGCATAGTTGGAAAAATATTTAGAGTATTTCTAAGCCATTCTTGGGTGAGTTGCCAAAGTTTCCCTCTCGCACGCTGCTTATTTAACTTGCGGCCGCTTTTGGTCCTTCGGCAAACACACTCCAGCTCACCCAGGAAAACAAAACGGTACAAAAATATTGCTCAACATTATGCCCGTGCACCTCAAGCAGCTGTCTCTTTGTAGCGGCTGCTCACATCCATCAGCGGTTGCCGATTGTCCTTCCCCAGGACCCCCGAACCGGACCCAAGTTGGCTGGGTCCTAGCTTAGCTTGGCTTGGCTTAGCCGGCCCGAAGCCCCTCGATTGAATGATGTGTTCTGGGCCTCCCAAAAATAAACTGCCGTTTTCAACAATATTTACGGCCCGTTGTCTGTTAGCTTAGGCATATATGAGTGAGAGCGAGTGTTTTGTATTTGCTACGTGTGTGTGGTTTACCTTTATTCTTTTGGCGCTTTTTTCGTTTATAAATTTCGCATGTCTGGTAGTGGGGATGGGAATTAATGCTTCGCTACACTTAAATAATTTCTTCTGAGCTTAAGGTGTTTTCAAATAAACAAATTAAAAAATATAAGCCTTTAGCAGTATTTAAACAAATTCATTAATGTTAAATCCTATAAAAAATTTTCAGAGCCTTATAAAAATCAAATATGTTAAGATATGCTAATATGTAAATCTAACAAATAAATGTTCCGTCTTAAAACGATTTTTTTTTGGATCCTATAACCCGGTTAATTTTAGTTTGACTATAAGAAATCATATGTTTTCGTAAGGTTGTCTAACTCTGTTCTCGATAATTTTGACGCGTGTAGGCATATGCTGGCCAAAGTCGTTAAACAGAGAGCGCCGGAAAACGCAGAAATATATGCAGCATAAAAGTGCGACGAGCACCTGACGATGCCACAATGGCGGAGGCTTCATTAGAGATCACCTGGGTGGAACTGGAGGGAAAGAAGACGGTGCGCACACGTTTTGCATTTTTGGTTATTTGCACAGGCGGCACAACGGCACGTATACGTAATAAAGTTGAACAAATAAAATCCACTTTCCTTCGGCGCAGAAAAGTTCTAATTTTTTCCCAACCTACCGCTCTTCATTCGGCTGTTGGCCTGTGTTTTGTTTGGCTTTTGTTGGGCTTCAGTTGCAACCTAAATTTCATTTGAGGCACAAAACTTGTTTAGTTGGCAAACTTTGCGCGTCGTCAATAAGGCTTGGTGGCTAAATCCGCAGATGAGGGGGCCGGAGCATTTGGTGGAGGGCGGTTAAGCCCAGACAGTTTGGCATGGCCGCACGCCATGATATAATCTGGTACTGGCCCGCCGTATATATTACGCGCTGCCTAACAACTCCCACCGCTGCCGCCCCACCGCCAGCTCATCGGAGTCACCTCATCTACAAACAGGCGTTCACGGACCGAGGAGAAGGCCACTGGGTCGTAGGGTGCATATTGATGGAGTAGAGGTTGCCTAGATTTTCACAAAAAAGGGCATCTTCAATTTGCCAATGGAAATTGTTTCACCAGATGTAGTTTTGTTTCTACATGTTCGAGTACTAAAAGATTGTTGGACTTAAACCTTAACCATAAAGCCTATTTTTTAAAATAAACAAATTATAAATAAATATATAAAATATATAATAAATTTCTTTAAATTTATCTTAAATATCAAAAAAATGTAGCATGTCAATAATTTAAGTTGAAATTCCTATACATGTTTCATTTAACCGTGGGGAACTAAAGTAGCAAGACATAAACTTAAGCTTATACAAAAATTTGTAGATAGTTATTTAGTGAATTAACTTTTTTAATTAATTGCTGAAGTTTTATAAGTACTTTTATAAACGTTACGGTTTTACTGTGCTGCAAAATAAATATATAATTGTTTAAGCTTAAATAATGTAAACAAAATTAATGAAAAACAAATCTTATTAATATTTGGTATTATATTATATTTTGTAACAATCCTTGGGTTCGTTGTAATCGCCTTAGGGTATTCCATATTCCTCGTTCACGGACATCATTTTGGCCGCCACCGATTAGCCATATCGATTCAAGCCACACTTTCGGTTTGTCTCTGCATGAGGTGAGGTGAGGTTGGTTTGGGGTTGGGCTGGGGTTGGGGTTGAGGTTGAAATGCATAATTGGCGATTAGACGATTGGCCCTAATATGCCAAAGCGCTGCAGCGGACAACAAGAGAAGCGCAGTAGAGCCAGCTTTGGCTTTAGCCCCAGCTTCGGACAGCATTCGAATGGCCAGCTAATTGGGTCATGTCATCCCCAGCTGTCCCCTGTCCCCCCCCAAAATTCCTCCGTCCATGGAGAATACCTACCTTTGGCTGAAATCTTGGGGTAAAAAGTAATGACAATGGTTTATGTTTTTCGTTTATATATAGATATATATAATGTTATATATATTTCCTTTTTGCTTTGTTGTTCATTCAGTTGCTTTCATGCATTCAATGCCGCCTTTTGTCTGCGGGCTCTCTACTCCCCTCTCCCTCCCTCTTGACTTTCACCCATCTCTCCCTCTCGCTCCCTCTCCTTCTCCATCGCTTGTTAGCTATGCCGCTCTGTTGATAAGTGTACACATCTATAGACTATATGCTATACGTAGGTTTATATTATACAATACATAATACATAAGTTTAACTTAAATGCTACGGTTTTTTCTTGCTCTTTTTCCACGTTTAAGATTACTTTCGGTTGTGTGTAAGTGTGTGTTTTGTATCTGTGTGTGTGTGAGTGTGTGCTTACTGTTTGTTGGGAGTCCTTTGAAGACTACTGCGCTCATTTAGAGGCAAAGAAAAAAGTCTTTGGTTTACCTTAAAAATATTGTTTTGTTTGTTTTTCTTCTGCATTTTGTTTTTGTCGTCTCCTTAAACTCTAGGTCTTAGCACATACGGGCAATTAATATCTTGTGGATACGCTTTAAATCGTTACAAGGACAAACTGACATACGTCTACATGTACACGTGCATGCCTATGTGTATGCGTGAGTGTGTGTTTGCTTGTGATGTGTTTCGAGTGTGTGTGTGCGCACTTTCAGTACAATTTACATATGCTTATTTACGTATGCATTTGACGAATATTTTCCCTCTGTCTTTACTTTGAATTTCCTCCGATTGGTTTTTTATATTTGCTTTTCGCCTGCCGACAGGCTTTATTTTGTTAAACGTTTCCTCTTTAGCATGCTCTCTTCTAATTTTATTGGGAAGTTTACAAACATTTGATATTGTTTTTTTAAATTTATATATTTTTTTGGATAGCAGTAAATCAACATTTCTTCAGAAATTTGTGAGTAAACTGGCTTAGCTTGATTACATGAATATTCGTTTATATTCGAATTGTACCAACAATTATTCTATAAAAATTCAATTCAGGGCTATTTATGCAAAGCTGCCGTTGTTGAAGACTAAATATATGAACGAATTAAAAAAACAGTATTTTTAAGTTAAATGAAAGTATACTTTTCCAACTTTTAGACCTCAGCGTTTTGAGAAACTAGTTTTCAAAGCTGTAAAAATGGCGCATTTGATCGGTTTTGAACAAACAACAAACCAAAAAAAAAATTCAGCAATGACAGATGAAAATATTTGAATTAAAAATGTTTCTTTCTAAAAAAATGTCAGATAGAAATAGAAATTTTGTTTAAAAACAAGGTAATCTCTCTTCGCAAACAAAAAAATACAATATTACAATGGCGAATAGTTGGACAAGGGTATACTGACAAATAATTTCGAAAATATAAATCCGTTATTTTCTGTTAATAAAGTTTAAAATATTGCAATTTTTTTAAACTTTTATGAATTTTATGAAAACGCTGATGAATAGAAACATTATAATGGCCGAACATAGATTGGAAATAAACCATTTAACAAGTTATGGCTAAAACAAAATTGAGAAAATATTAAAATAGCTGATTTACTGTTTTCCTTTTGGATAGACTTTAGCCTGCTTTAGTTTTACATTATTTCACAGCTTCTAACGGGACAAGATTTCAACAATAGTCGGATTCAGAATTGGTTTTCTTTGTCTATGAGATATGTAATATATACAGTTACAATGATTTATATAACTTTTTCCAGTTTACCATATACTATATATGTGAATGCATAATTTACAAATGTTGAGCCACAATTTTTCTGATTTATGATTATAACTTTGGGAGGTTCTGGGTTCCATTTAACTTCTTTTTGACCGAACAACGACGAAATTACACACACACATGCACACACATAGTCACATACATATAAATATATAAGTTTTATACATAGATTTAGTTACATTCACATGGTTGCTTTTCCATACACATGTATATTTTTGGAGTATTTTAAACGTTATGCGGGGAGTTGAGAGTTTGCCATGGTTTTTAAAGAAAGTTTGCTGTACATTTCTTAGTTTAGTTTAGTTTACGTTTATGTTTAGTTAAAGTTTAGTTTAGTTTAGTTTACTTTAGTTAGTTGAGTTACTTGCCAAGGAGAGTGTACCTTAGTGTAGTGCAGTTGATTTCGTTTTAGCTTTCTCTTTGCTTTGGGCAATTATTATCTTCATTCGCATTATCTTTTTTGTCAGACACTATCACAAACAGTTCGCTTGCACAATAATCGCTGCTCGCCTAGGACCTCGGAGCTATCTAAGAGTGTTATACCTAAAAGAGCTACCTCCCCATCTTATTTGTTGTGTTAAGTTTAGTCAGTTCTTGGTTTGGTTTCCGGTCGCCCTGCCTCCGCGGGCTTACACATCCGTGCCACATCCTTCCTGGTATCCCTCGTCCGGCGAGTTGCGGCTGCTGCTGATCAGGGCCCTTTTCAGGGCCGTCACGGGCGGCAGGACGGGCACGCCGCCCTTCTGCCACACCCGTATCGTCTTGGCGTTGATGGGCTGCCCGTTGGGCAGTATGGAGCAGGAACTGGAGGCGCTGGCATTCGCCTGGGCGTGGTTGACCGCTGGCGTGGGCGAGCAGCGGGAGCTCCCACTGCCACTTCCCCCCTCGTGCAGTCGAGGCAGTGTGCGGCTGCTGAAGTGCGGACTGCTGCCGGTGGAGCTGCCCTCCCGCTTCTGGTGGTTCAGCGTAGAGGTCAGCTGCTGCTGGAGCTGCTGCAGCGGGTGCATCTGCAGCTGGTGGTTGTGCTGGTGCTCTGCCCCCGGCACCAAAGGCAGGCCGTAATCGTTGGGGTAGCCCGATGAGGAACCACCCGACAGATTGGTGGTCACAGTCGAGGCCGTGGAGGTTCCTCCTCCTACTCCACCTCCTCCTACTCCGCCTACACCTCCCGTCAGTCCCTGCTGTAGGTGTGACCTGGGGAAGGTCTTGCTGAAATAGTCCGTGGCTGCCGTGCGCTCGTGCAAGTCATACAGCTGGGTGGAGTCGATGATGGGCGTCTTGTCCGTGTAGCGCTTCATGAAGAGGTCATCCGCAGAAGTGGTGCCCACTGGGGCACCGTGTTCCCACAGACCCGAGGGATACAGGGAGTCGCAGCCGTTGGCGCGACTGTACTCCCCACTGCCTCCCACGCCAACGCCACTGATGGGCGGGATCTTGAGATCGGCGAACTCATCGCTCCCGAAGCGCTTGGTGTCGTTGATGAGATCGGGGTTGTTGCCACCGTTACCGGTGGATCCGGTCGGGGATATAAAGCAGGAGGCAGTCGACAGGACACTTCCGTTGTTGTCGTAGCCCTGCGTGGAGTAGGGCAGATCGGTTAGCCTCGGCGGTTTCTGCACGGGATTCGCACTGCGCTGATCGTGCCCCGCATGGGATACTCCTCGTACGCTACTCTTCCGCTCCAGACTGCCTCCCTGCACCACTCCGCCGTCGATAATGTTGGCCACAGCTCCGTTGGCAATGACCACGCCTCCAATGCTGCCATTCCCCGTGGCCGGCTGCGTCTTGTTTGTAATGGAATTCTGATGGTTGACCGATGTAATCACCTCCATGTGGTTGGGGGTCTTGCTGTCGACATACGGCTGCCGTTTGACCCTCAGCAGCAGGCACATGATGACCCCCAGGGCGAAGACAATCAGGGCCACCAGGGCTGCACTCAGGCCCACGATCTGGCCACTTCCCAGGGAGGCCATTCCCGCAGCTCGCATGCTCACGTGGAGCGTAAAGTTGGCCTCGGCCATTCCCGCTCGGTTCTCGGCCACACAGTAGAACTCACTGGAGTCCGTCTCCTGGGCGTTGGTCAGCACGAGCTTCGACCTCTTCTCGAATCCTCCCTCCACCTGTTCGAACATGTGCACCCTTTGGTAGGCCGTGAAGGCCGAGTTGTTGGCCAGCAACCGTCCGTTCCAGTACCAATTGATGTTTGGAGCTGGCACCGCTCTGGCCCGACAAGTGATCGAGGCGTTCTCCCCCATGGCGGTCTCAACGTAGTGCGAAATGGGCAGCATCTCGGGTCGGCAGGCGAACTCGTCCACATGAAGATCGGCAAAGCTGCGATCGATTATCCTTTCGGGACCGCCCGAGCAAACGGGCGCCACGGGATACGGGATATTCCGCTGCATCAGCCAGAGTTTCGTGTCCCTCAGTCGGCAGTCGCAGAGCCAGGGATTGTCGTGCAGTTCGATGCCATGGAGGCGACTCAAGGTCTCGATGGTCTTGGGCAGAAGCTCGCTCAGTTTGTTCCCGTTCAAGCGGAGCAGGGTCAGTCCTTGGAGGCCCCCAAAGGCCTGAGCGGAAATGGTCTGGATATCGCAATGCGACAGATCCAATTTGTGCAGCGAGGGTGTGTTGCTGAAGGCCTGGCTCTCGATTTTGTGTATATGATTGGAGGCCAGGGTGAGTTCTCGCAGCGAGGAAATGTAGCCGAGGGCCAGGCTGGGCACCGTAACCAGCAGATTGTGCGACAGATCCAGCTCCACCAGGTTGGTCAGTCCCTTGAAGGTCTCCCGCTCGATCTCGCCAATCTTACAGTTCCGCAGATACAGTTTCTGCAGGTTGAGCAGATTGGCACGTATGAACTGCTCGTTGGACAAGGTCTGCAACTTGTTCCCGGACATGTCCAGCACCTGGGTGTTGGGATCGATGTGCTCGGGGATCTGGATCAGGTGGCGATCGATGCACTCCACGGTCTGCTTGCCGCCCTTCCATTTGCAGGCGCAGACCGTTTGGCAGGTGCTCTGCTGCTGGGCGGGCGGATCCAGATCGGAGTGGGCGGGCGGAAAGTGCTGGCTGGGGGGCATATAGCCGTCCTCCGTCATCGGCTGACTGTCCGCTATGGAGTAGACTTCGTTCTGGGACGCGGGGGAGGACCTATAGCTCCCGGGGTTGGATGACGAGGAGCTGCCTGCTCCTCCGTTCGCGTACAGATGCAGCTGGTTGTAGCGATTGCCCAGGATGATTCCAGGCAGCAGGCTGAGGACCAGGAAAGCCAATCCCCTGATATGCATTTTCCTGGTTTTGTCTTTTAAAGTCTTTTGGTTGAGCGTTCTAGGCTAAGGCCCAGAGTTTGTTTTGAATTAGCAATGCCATGGGTCTTTCAGTTATACTGTTTATGATATGATATATTTTGTAATTCACACAGAGTTTCATGGATTAATATTCATTTATTTGTATCTCTAATTTGCAGGATCTTAGAACGGAGCTTGTGATTTATTTAAATTGATGTGTCTTGTGCTGATATGGAAACTTTCACAGTCCTTTCGAGCCAATTTTTATTGATTTTAATACATATTTATTTTGTTTTTACAGTTTTTGCTTAAATTTTTGTGTAACTCAAGGATATGCCATATGTTTCGTTGGGTTGAGCTTATACTCTTACTTTCGTGCGATTGTATCCGTTCGTTTTCTGGGTTTTCTTTTAATTATGATATGGAAACTTCCTTATGGGTCAAGCGGAAAATTGATTAATTGCCGCCTTGGCCTCACTTGTTGTTGCTGCGGTTTTCGCCAAGATTTTCATGTTTTACCGTAATTAGCGCTCGGCCAGACCCAGTGTTATTTATAGGGCTAGCACCCGCACCCGCACACACTCACTCACTCTCACTTTCTTACTCACACTCGTTTGGATGATAATCGTTTTTACTTTTCGGCCAACGAAATTCGTATTTCCCTTTGCTTTTTTCTATTATTTATTTTCTACGCAATTTTCTTCAGCTCTTCGGGATTTTTCTTGCTTCACGTGCTGCTTTTCACATATATATATATATTATATATAATTTTTTTTTAGGATGGTTGGTTTGTTTTGTTGCTTCGGTTAGCGCATTTTGCCACGCAAAGCTTTAATTCGCATCGCGTTTTTTCTTCGTTTTCGGTTTCGTTTTCGTTTGCGTTTGCCTATCGAGCGAACCTCGGTCCACGCGAAAGGGTTTGATTGCTGATTTTGGAGCGAGGGCAGCGTGGCGAGTTGTGGTCTAGAAACGGATTGCCATTGCACACTTGCAATTGTTTTCACTGCACAAAATAACGGTGGATCCTGGCCACTGGGACTCCCACACACCCGCGCGCACTCTTACACACACGGCACAACAGCAGCGGAAAAAGGCAACCGCTCGGCAGCGTTCGTCGTTAACGTGTGAGTGAAAAATGCTTATTTCTGGCAATGTCTACAGCTTGGCCGTCGTTTCGAATCAAAGCCTCGCAGTCGCTTTGCCACTCGTATCGAGCCGAAGTCGCTTCGGCCGCTCTGCTGGCCTTCGGATTGTCGGGAGAGAGAGAGAAAGAGAGGCAGAGAGCGCAGAAAGCAGCCAGAGAACTTGCCCTGTGTGTTGCCCTAACCGATTCGCAACATTCGCATGCAACATGTGGGCAACACAGCACTTGGAAAAAAACCATGAGAAATTTAAAATGAGTTCTGCAAAAAGCCAGACAATTTCACAGGTTAAGTAAAAAACCAATTAATTAGCTACACTTGCGTGATGTGAGTCATTTTTTTGGGCATCTTATACTTTTTAAAGATTGCTATTCAAATATGAATAATTTATCCTCTTATTTATTGATTTTTCATATTTTTCCTTAATCACAAAAGAAAAAACATCCAAGACCATGTACCAGCGTACTTAAATTTAAAACGTGGTTTTGCTTGTGAGTTTGCGGGCCGGTTATAAGGATTATATTACGCACGCCACAGTTGTAAAGATTTCAAATGAGCTTCCCGCCGTACAAATAAGGATTTATGTGAAAGGAATAAATCGGCCAGTTGAATCATGCGTGGGCAGATCGCATGACATCATTAAAATGAATTTAATTGGGCTGGCGTCTATTACATTTCCCTCTTTTGTATTGCTTCCCAAAGTTAGCTGGATTATGAATTGCTGTGAAATTCCTAGATTTTTTTGAGATACTTATATTATCACTTTGGTGCTAAGCCCCTTAAAAGAAACCCTTAGTTTGTAAAGGACGAGAGCAGTTTATTAAAATGAAATTATTGTTATATTCTTCAAACCCAAATAATAATCGCATAATATTTTATTTTCCACTCTAACAAGTTTTAAAATCGCATGTTTCGATAGGAAAATAAAAAATTCCAGTGTTTCGTATGTCGTTTGCATACGTTTCCCTTACTTTCTCACTAATAAATACCATTTGCTAACGGTGTACCTAGAAGAGAATAATGTTTACAGCGTTTGAGTGTACTTCGCATGTTTCTAAGTAGTTCCCCTTTTTTAATTCCCATTCATTAGGGCCCTCGTCTTCTGCTCTGTCTTCAGTCAATCAGCGATCAACCTACTCAGGCATAAAACACCAACAGAAACAGACCCAAAAAAAGTGAAGAAAAGGTAAAGCAAAAACAGTACACTGAGAAAAAAAATCAATTGTTTACCTGGTGATTTAAGGTACTTTTTGTTCGGCATACGTATATAGTCATTTAATTTTGTAACATATATTGTTTATGAAATTTCATAATTTTTAAAATTTGAATACCATCTTATTATGTAAATTTCCATTTAATTTTAACAATTAATTTAACAAAATAATAAGTTTGTTCAATTTTTCCCTGTGCTTACCAACAAAAAACTGCTTAGCTTGCAGCCGGCAAAGACGAACAAGTAGCTGAAAAAAAGAGACTTCGCTTCGTTTGGCTTTGCTTTGCTTTGCCAGTCGAGTGCGGCGTAATTTCAGTATTGACCGAATGAGTCACATCCGCCAGATACAAGATACTCGCAGTCGGGCTTCAACTGAATGAATTTGCTGCATGGTGTGCGGAAATTTCACAATGTGATGATTTTGTGGCCAGTCGTTCATTCAAGATCGTTTTGCATAGGCCAGAGAAAGAGCTCTCATGTTTGTCGATCTGCTGGGTAAAAACTATCTCCGCCTCATTTAATGATGGCCCAGAACCAGAACCCGGCCAAGAATGGGAATGGAAGTGGGTATGGGAATGAGAAGAGCTGCAAACTAATTAGCCCGAGGGGCCACAAGTTGAGCTTGAAGTGGAGCCAGAAATTGCGTATAAGTTACTTCACCTGCGGACGACTGCGGGGCAGCTACATGATACCTCTCGTGTCTTTTGGCCAGACAGGAAACGCTCTCAGTGTTAGTTACCTGCTTGGCCCAAACACCCCGTCCCCCGGACCCTATTGCATATGAATGAAACTGCAGCGGAGACGTAGCATCCACATCCACATCCACATCCACAGCCAACAGCTGCCGCCGTTCAGATTCAGATGGCCTGAGAAGTTTTCACAGCAAACTTGTTTAGAGTCAGGGAAAAAGAGTAGTTGGCTGTTGGCTGTTGGTTGTTTGTCCTCTTTTGGCCGAGTAAAAAACGCGATTGCATATGCCTGCATATACACTCCAAGATACATTTTTTTGCGAAAAGATACATTTCCATTTCCATTTTCCCACCCACTCAGTCAGTCACTGATGGAGGCGAACAAAAACAACTGAAAACTCAACATTGTAGACATTGATTAAGGTCAGTTATGATTGTGTATTGTTTTCTTGTGTTTTCCTCTATCTCGTTCGTTTGTCTAAGCTTCAAAAAGTGAAATCTCCTTCTGCGTGTTGGATTTTTTTTCGAATTTTTCGGTGAATTGCTAGGCAGTCATGCATGGGTATCTCCGAGTTGACTTGATGGGTTCAGGTACCGAGAACTGAGCAGATTGGGTTGAAAGTTGGAACCTTATTTGCTTGAATTATTAAGTGGAAAAATCTTCTTATGTTGGACATTTTATGGATGTCAAACATTTTGGCATTGTAGCTCGGAGAGTGTAATAATGTATGTTTGTTGTCGAAAGCTCTATGGAAAAAACAATTTAAGCATTTTAAATGTGTAATATGCTAACTTTTAAATAAATACTTGCAAGCTCTTCTAAAATCAGCTTAAAAGTTACTTTCAGTAACAGTGACTGGTTTTATTAGTTCAAACATTTATTTTGTTAACTAAATGAACGTACAGAAAATAATCTCAAGCACACGAATATATTTTTTAAATTTTAAAATAATATAAACACTTGTTTCCTTTTTTAGCGTCTAATAAATTATTTAACCTAACCTAATGCTTAAGAAGCACACAGGAATTATTAACTTTAATATAAGTTTAATGTTAGAGCGGATGCAAATTTCTTTACAGCTAACTTATTACAATAAATTTGAATATTGCGTGTTTAATATATTGCACTTCCTTTTCGTTTCAGTCGGTTGTGGCCACGCTCGACCGTCTTTGATGATCTTTTGCTTGGGTTGGCGAAAGTAGAACTCGGCCACTATGCAAATATCGTTTGGCAGCGGAAGTTGCCAGGAAAAACGCTGATCGGTGGCATATGAACAGCAGTTTTCGACTTACTTTTTGCACTTTTTACACTCTTTTGCTGCACTTCACTGTTGGCTGACTCCCCCGACTTCAGATGCTCATACATTTTTGTTGACTTTCACGTTTCGCATTTCGCGTATGAGCGTTTTCTGCCATTGCTTTCGGTACGCAACAATTAGCCGCAGCTAATTGGCCAAAAATGCTGTTTGCTGCTCGCTAGTTGCTATTTGCGTTACGCTTTCTGCACTTGTCTGGCAAGAAAACTTACCGCTAATCTTCGAGCCGAACAACTTCCGCCTTGTCGGTTGCAAACTGTAAAATGTACAGTGTAAAGTGCGCAATTAAAAATCGCAGCAGCCGCAGAAGAAGATGACTTTGAGTTGTCTGCCGCTGCCACTGGAATTCCGCAGAAGAAACCTTTGCGTTCATAATTTGAAAAATCACCTGGCAGAGTGGGTCTCCGATGGGGTGGCCGGGCTCCCAGCGACCTTTGTGCTCGTAATGCTGCGCCTAATTGCCCTTAATTTATTTAACTTCAAGCTGTGCTCAGACTCCGCCCACCTACCGCCCCCGTTTTCCCTCAGAGTCAAGGGTTCGCTGCGTGTCCTTTTGGGTCACTTGGGACGTGGCCGGAGTCCGGAGTCTTCTGCGATTTGAACAAGTGTCCCTTGGCCCGCTCGTCCACTGTCCGCTGTCCACTTTCCGCTGTCCATTCCCATCGGCATCATCGCCGTCTACTCGGTTAGGGATATTCGCAATTTGTCATGATCTCAGTAACGATTAATGCGAAAATTTCTTGAAAAAGTTATAAATTGTTAAATGCGAACATCATTAATAAGTTTGCTTTAGGTGGGTATCACTAATTGGATTTTTATGGTTAGTATTTTTGGTATAATGCTGAGAGATGTGGGTACGTATTGGATACGATTAAGTATCTTTACATCTTTGATATTAAATTATAACATACTTAACCTCTACAAAATATACGAGATAATATTGCAAGATAAATAATAAGGAAAATAGTAATAGCTATGAAATTATATGTAATTAATAAATTGGTAAAAAATAAAATATATGTCGGATTTAACATATAAATAAGATCTAAGTCATCATAAATAAGTTGAAATAAAACTGTCTGTTTAAATGGAACTACCAACAAAGTGCTAGTCTACATTTTCTGTTATTAATTATAATTGGAATACTGTGCAAGCACACGTATAAAACGGCTCAAAGTTTCCTTCTCACAGATACCGCGTTTTCCAGAGTGTTTCGTGTCCATCTATTCATATATCACCGTCTTGATTTGCCTTCGCCATCCACAATTTCCAAAGTGGCAGACAACACTTCAACTTGTCCCCCAAAGGGGAAAATTTCAGAGGTAGAAGTTCACTAAACGCTCTAATTATTTTCGAACTGTTTGGATTTAAATACCTCTGTGCAGTGTGCAAAAGCAGCAACGACACTGGAAATCACTTTATCTTCATTTTGGGGCATTAAGCCGCTTAGTTCAGTCGCCGTCCTTGTGCCATCTCTTTCTGGGTATCTGGAATTTTAGTCCTCTGCAATTATTCAAAGCGCCCCAAATTAGGTAATTGCCCTTTAAAGAATCATTCTAATTATTTATGTTTATGTGTGTGGCCCGCAGAGGCCCCCTCATCCACCACCCACCACCCATTCACTACCCACTTGCATTGCATTTCGCCGGCATTGTCATCGCCTAACCTTCATCACCACCCACCCCTTGCCAACCGGCGGGTGCCACGCTTGTTTGCGGCCTTGATTAATGGAGTCGTCCTGCGGCCATCGCTTAGAGCGACCCGAAAAC